TTGACTTATAACAATGTTACGTAGAAAATGATTGACATAAACGACATTAAAATTTTAATTGAAAACTTTTGTTTCCTTTAATTTATAATATTGCCTCAACGTCGGCGATCTATTTGTCTAAATAAAAATGACACTACCATATCAAACACTAAAATAGTTAAATAAAAATGGATTCAAGGAAATAAAAATTTTTGAAAAGTTGACCTTAGCTTTAAAACAATATAATAACAGTTAATTTATTTTCAAGTTAATATGAGTTGTCGAAATGACGCAGTTTCTGTATGATTTCTCATTTAGAAGCGAAAAAAAAATTATAAATGAAAATCATCAATAAAGAACAATTTAATTTCTTCTTCTCACCTTTTCAAATGAAATGACATTTCAAAAATATTTTACGGTGATATAGAAATACCTTCATTCGTGCATTAGTCAATCGAATTTTATGGCTGGTTGCAATTCCCATGCTTTGGAGGATCCTTTTTCCGTTATGACCAATAGGTTATTCTTGATACTTATTTGCATTACTTAAGTCAAGAAGATAAAGAAAAATTAAAAGGAACATCAATCACCCACATTTAAATACATTTATTTAATTATTCTGGATTTATTAAAGTATTTTATATAACAGGAGTCGAAATACATATTGTCAGTTGGGTAAATAATCGTTTTATTCCTAGACTATTTCGAGCAATAAATTCAAAGAAAATAACTTTCATGAATATTTAGAGATTTTATTATTTGAAAATCATGATCATTTTTAAACTTCCTCTGGTTTAATTTTTAACATTACATACTAAAAAGTTTTATCGGATGTTGATTTCTACTTATCCTGTGCGAAGATCAGCTATTAAATGTAAGTATTTAACTCTAACCGTATCTTTATATAAATTACTAATAAATGCATCTTTTCAATTTACGATCTTTAGTTTAGCGCTTTCAACATTATAGAAAGTTTACGTGTCCTTTTATCGTATTTATGAACTACCAATCGACCAACTATTTTTGAAATTTATGATCGAATACAAATAAGTGTTCGATAGTGTCTTGTGGATTTTTTTTTTATATCTAATCTTCATGATATGTTAATTTTTATTTAGATTGGTTTAGAATATGAGCATACATGGAAGAAGATAATAATGTAAATATTTGCTTCATGTGGAAGATTTATCTTTGTTGGAGTTAACATTTTTATTTTATTCTTTTACCAATAATATTATTTAAAATTACATCATTCTCATCTTTAATATTTTTATTTCTATATCAGTAATAGCTGGTGTATTATTGACGTTATATTAAGACTATTTCTTTAGCATAACAAAATAAAGCTTTGTTTCCATTTTTTTGTTTATAGTAACCCAAATTTAACCGTGGATCAAGTACTTTGCAGAAACCCGGTGTTTAGTCTCTAATCAGTTACAGGATCTACACAAATTAGTCTGAAATTCGCGTCGATTACGTAACTGAATGTTATTTCTCGTCACGAAATGTGTAATGTAGTCAATAAGGTTTAATTCATATTGTCAATCAATACAAATTTCGCAAACTTAAAAAACTTAATTTTGTTTTGTTAATTATAAACGTGCACGATAAACTATAAATAATGTAATTAATAAAAATTTTATAATGTAAATATAAAATAATAATAATAAACAAACTTAGACAATTATGAGTAAGAATAAATCATTTTTTCAGCATGCTAATTTGAAATTATCAAATACATTTTCATAATCAATTTTCCAAACCCAATATTCAAGTTGAAATTGTGCATCAATATTATTATTTTCAGCTGCTTTTTTATAATATTCATAAGCCTTAACTTCATCTTTTTCAATGCCTATTCCTAATCTATAAAATTGTGCTAAAATATATTGTGCCATAACATCCTCCTTTTCAGCTGCTATTTTGTAAAACTTAAATGCCTTTACTTTATTTATTTCAATTCCAATTCCAAATTCATAACAGTATCCAAGTTGAAATTGTGCATCAATATCATCATTTTTAGCTGCTTTTTTATAATATTTAAAAGCTTTAACTTCATCTTTTTCAGTACTTATTCCTAACCTATATAATTGAGCTAAATTATATTGTGCAATAACATTATCATTATTAGCTGCTAACTCATATAACATAAATGCCTTTTTATTATTAATATCAGTTCCAATCCCATAATAATAACAATATCCAAGTTGAAATTGTGCTTTATTATATCCTTTTCAGCTGCTTTTTTATAATATTCAAAAGCTTTTACCTCATCTTTTTCAATATCTTCTCCATTCTTATAAATTGTGCTAAATTATATTGTGCAATAACATCACCTTTTTCAGCTGCTATTATAAATAATTTATATGCTTTTTTTTTATTTATATCAGTTCCAATCCCATAATAATAGCAATATCCAAGTTGAAATTGTGCATCAATATTATTATTTTCAGCTGCTTTCTTATAATATTTAAAAGCTTTAACTTCATTTTTGTCAGTACCTATTCCTAATCTATAAAATTGTGCTAAATTATAAAATGAAATAATAATCCCTTTTTTAGCTAATATTTCATAAAAATTAAATGCTTTTACTAAATTAATTTCAGTTCCAATTCCATTATAATAGCAATATCCAAGTTGAAATTGTGCATCAATATAATCATTTTCAGCTGCTTTTTTATAATATTCAAAAGCTTTAACTTCATCTTTTTTAGTACCTATTCCTAATTCATAAAATTGTGCTAAAATATATTGTGCAATAACTACACCTTTTTCTGCTACTATTTTATATAATTCAAATGCTTTATATTTATTAATTACAGTTCCAATTCCAAAGTTATAACAATATCCAAGTTGAAATTGTGCATCAATATCATAATTTTCAGCTGCTTTTTTATAATATTCAAAAGCTTTAACTTCATCTTTTTCAACACCTATTCCTAATCTATAACAATTACCAATATTATATTGAGCAATAATATGTTCATTTTCAGCTGCTTTTTTGTAATATTCAAAAGCTTTAACTTCATCTTTTTCAGTTCCAATTCCATAATTATAACAATATCCAAGATGACATTGTGCTTCATTGTAATTTTGTTCTGCAACTATATTAAATAATTCAAAAGCTTTAATTTTATTAATTTCAGTTCCAATTCCAAAATCATAACAATATTCAAGTTGAAATTGTGCATCAATATCATTATTTTTAGCTGCTTTTTTATAATATATAAAAGCTTTAGCTTCATCTTTCTCAATACCTATTCCTAATCTATAACAATTACCAATATTATATTGAGCAATGATATGCCCTTTTTCAGCTGCTTTTTTATAATATTTAAAAGCTTTAACTTCATCTTTTTCAGTTCCAATTTCAAAGCTATAACAATATCCAAGTTGAAATTGTGCATCAATATCATTATTTTTAGCTGCCTTTTTATAATAATTAAAAGCTTTAACTTCATCTTTTTCAACACCCATTCCTAATCTATAACAATTACCAATATTATATTGAGCAATGGTATGCTCATTTTCAGCTGCTTTTTTATAATATTCAAAAGCTTTAACTTCATTTTTTTCAGTTCCAATTCCATAATTATAACAATATCCTAGTTGACATTGTGCTTCATTATAATTTTGTTCTTCAACTATATTAAATAATTCAAAAGCTTTAACTTCATTTTTTTCAGTACCTATTCCTAATGTATAAAATTGTGCTAAATTATATTGAGCTTCTATATGCTCTTTTTTAGCTGCTAAATTATAAAATTCAAATGCTTTTTCTTTAGTAATTTCAGTTCCAATTCCATTTAAATAACAATATCCAAATTGAAATTGTGCTTCAACATCACCTTTTTCAGCTGTTATTTTATAAAACTTAAATGCAATACCCAAGTTGAAATTGTGCATTTAAGTATCCTTGATCGGCTGATTTTTTGAAAAATTCAAAAGCTTTTCTTTCATGTTTTATTACGCCTTTGCCATCTTTAAAACAATTTCCTAAATTTTATTGCCATTTTTTGCTGCTTTTTGAAAATAAGAATATGCTTTTTCATAGTTTTTTTTTATTCCAATACCAATATAATTATTAATTCCGATTTGTCTTAATCCTTCAAAATAAACAACTTTGTAAAGTTTTTCATTTCTTTTCTTTTTAAGAAATATTTTTTTATTATAATCTTTCTCTAAAGTATATTTTGCAATAATATTTCCATTATATGCTGCTTTTTCATACCAATAACAAGCTTGCACTTTATCTATTTCTGTTCCAATTCCATTAAAAAAACAATTTCCAAGTTGATATTGCGCATCAGAGATTTCATCATTTGCTAATATTTTATAATATTCAATAGCTTTAAATTCATCCTTTATAACTATATTCCCCAACCTATAGCAATCTGCCAAGTAAAGTTTTGCGACCATATTTCCATTATTAGCCGCTTCTTTATACCAAAATATTGATTTTGTTTTATTAGGTTGTATTCCGATACCAAATTCAAAACAATATCCTAGATAAAATTGTCCAATAATACTTCCATTTTCTACAGATTTTTGATAATACTCAAAGGCTAATTCATGATTTTTTTCGGTTCCATATCCTTCATAATAGCATTTAGCAAGATAAAATTGCGCAATTGAGTAGTTATCGTTTGCTGCTTTTAAAAATAATGCAAATGCTTTACTACTATCTTCATCTATATCAATATGATGATAATAAAAAAATCCAAGGAACCACATATATTGCAGTTTATTTTGATTTTTGATAAGCCAAGTTATAAGATTATTTATGGACTGATTTAATTTTAATAACGGCTTTTTAATGAGATTTTCAATTTGATCAAATGAGAAGATGTCTTCTTTAAGTTTTTTAATTATATAATCAATTAACTTATCAATAATATTATTAATTGTATTGTTATATATTAACTCTAATGAATCCATTGAACTTATTGATGAATTTGCAATTTGAAAAGACGGATTTGATAAATTAATTTTAGCTTCAGTTATTTCTAAAGATTTTCGTTTTAACAAACGTGAATTGCTTTAGATTTAATATTTTTAAATTGATCGAATAATTCATCTAATATCAAATCATCATTATCAATCTTTATTTCACTTGATACATCAGATTTAAGGCTAGATTCATCATACGTTGATGGATTGCCTTTTTTTTCATGATTTACTTCAGGAGAAGCCATTTTTTTAAGCATTGAGACAACCTCTTTTGTATTTGGGCGTTTTTCTGGTTCATAATTCTAACATTCTAATAATGTAAATAAGATAAATTAAAAAAAAATAAAAAAAAATTTTACTGAAACATTAATACTATATTACTTACTTTCATAAAGGATACTATACATAAATGGAGTGCCATCAAGTATTTCCTCTCTTTTACCACCTACGATACTTAAGGATAAACTTACATCATAATCTATACCGTTAAATGGTCTACGTCCACTTGAAATTTGCCACAGCAAGACTCCAATACTATAGACATCAGATTTTTTATTCATTACATAGCTCTTATTTTGATTATCTAAACATTTTGGGTCCATATAAGGTATTACGCCAAAATTACTTGCGTTGTTTGAAGCTTCAGCGATTTTTCTTGATAAACCAAAGTCTGCTATCCTGATGCTTTTCTGATGTATAAGTATATTATTTGCATGCTGTGATTAAAAGAAAGTTAAACCAACGACGTTGTAAAATATAAATTATTACACACAAATAAAT